GGTGTCAGGATTAATCTCCCTTGCTGTAATTGACTTTGCAAGTCTCTCGGCGTCTTAGAACTTGAGTCCTGGCAAGTAAATTGAAAGAGCCCATTTCCCTGCCCGCCTGCAGTGGCAAGCCAGCTGCGGGGAAGTGCAGGCCGTGCTCCCATGCTAGATATTGTCAGGAAAAAAGAAACCCATCAAAAAATTGTTTGCCAGTAAATTTACATAGTTTAGTCATYGTTCCTTACGTCCTACTCAATGGGGGGATTGTAAAAGTAGCTGTGACTCTACCAGATCTAGGGAGGCACAGGAGCACTGCCAAGACTAATTTGTAAGTACCAGCCCACCTACTCTTTGCTGTAGGGAGAACTCTGGAGCAAAGTAATAAATATATTTTATGAGGACATAGAAGAAAAAGAAAAACCACTCTGACAAGTGAGGGAGGAAAGAAAGCAAGCTGTAGGATGGGAAKAGAGCAAAAGCATAATATATGTAATTATCTGGGTGCTCTGCATACTGTTCCTCTCATCCTGCCAAGCAAGAGCAATTAGAGGCAGGAGATGTTAACAAGAAATGTTCCCTGCGAGCTGGTGCAGCCACACACTGAGTCTCGGGTTTCCCCCRGTATCCGAAGCATTGAGGAAAGTGTGAGGTTTTGATCCTCTGATTTATTTCCCTGATATTATTTCCCTTTTGGTTCTAGTCCCTCTTTCCCATTTCCTTCTCTTTGGGACACCACCCTGTGGCTATTCCCATCAGGCTGGTGATGCTCTTCCTCAGGCAGCATGGCAAGTGGTTGGTYGTCTTTCCACAGGGGTACTTGGCTGGCTCCTGGTCAACTTTTGGCCCCCGGGTTCTTCTCTGCAGAGCTGCTTCTCAGCAGGTGAGGCTACAGCCTCTCCTGGGGTGTGGGGTGCTTCTTCTCTACATGGAGGACTCCAGCTGCATTTCAGAAGATCACGGTCCTCTGAGCCTGGCAGTTGAGCCTGTTACCAGTCCATCTCCATCCTCCAGCTGGTCTGGGAGGTTATGGGAGACTGTTGAAAAGCCTTATTAAGTTGAAAGAAACAATATCTGCTGTTCTCCCTCATCCACCAAGTGAAGCTTCTCATTGTAGAAAGCCWTCAGGTTGGCTAAGTACAATTTCCCCTTCGTAAATCCATGCTGACTACTCCTGGCCACCTTGCTTTAGGCAGCTCCTCCATTTACCTCTCAGGGCTACAGTTTCTTCCTCTCTATTGAAGGATAAATGACTTTCTGTTCAAAGTAGCTGAAAATTTATAGGTTGTGGAGAATAAGAACCGAGGCTATTGCCTCTTCCTTGAGGGTTTTTGGAGTACCTTGGTTGTGATAAATGGAAGGGCTTTGRCACTCGGTTGATGAGTATCATAAGAATCTCGTAAGAATGATTTTTGCCCTGTGTTTTATTTAGTTACTGTGCAAGCAAATACATCTTTTCATTCAGTGTGTTTACAGATCTAGTCCAGGAGAGCCCAAGCCTTTGAGTGAGATCTCTTGCTACTGGCGGCTATAAACAACAATTAGAGACAGCAGCCACAGATTTCGTTTCCATGATTATTTGTAGGTGCAAAGTGAACTGTGCTCCCTGTGAGGTACAAAAGGATTGAGATGTTTTCATTTCTGTTTTCAGATAAAACTGAAAACAGCTATTGGGAGACATGAAGGTATCAGCCTGTTAAAATCTGGAAACTTAAAATAATAGCTTGCAAAACCTGGCCTGAATGAGGGGAGAGACCTGAATGACTGCAGAACCCATCCTGCTCTATTGCTCTGCTGTGGGGCTTGTGGCTGGCGATTTCCATGGTGCCCATTTTATCCTGCCCTGTCCCTTGAAATATCAATGTGCCAATGCTATGCACAGGAATCCTGTTCTTGAAACTCTGGTAAGGTGTTTAGTCTTACAGATTGGATGATCTGAGCCTCTGTTCTCCGAGCCTCTAATTTCCCAAGCAATATGTAGTCATCTATATGTGCATATGGTTGGTTCTACATACATAGCGATAGCCACAAAAACAATGAAGGGAAACATATGCTGTGTGCTGGAGTTTGTTCTCTAGCATATTGTGGCGCAAGCAGCGCCCTGGTGAGCACCGTGTTCTGGTGACGAGCGCTCGCGCGAAGTGGCTGCCCATATGGCACAAAATGCTGCTGTTCTGCCTGGCTGTGCTGTGAGCACCCGGTCTCCCTGGTGCTCTCTGATGGTGGGAAAGGTATCAAGGAGGTTAAGGCCATATTTTTGCTTTATAATTACAGTTCTGGGTTTTGGTGGGTAAGTGCTTGAATCCGTAAGTAATTGCCCTTATGTTTTTCCTTAGAAATGTATCAATGGATTATACCTTAATACTTACATCTGCAGCTTAGCATTTGTAAGGACAAATCTGAAGGCTGGGCTGGAGGTTGGTCATGCTTATTTTGGGGGGGGGGGAAAAACTATGAAAATTATTACTCACAGGTTTCTCACAGGTGAATAAACCATGTGCATGGATGAATCTAGTTAATTCTTTGGTTTAATCAACCTAGAATCCCAGTGAGGCTATAACAAAATCCTACTGGTGTCTTGGAGTTATGAGAAAGATGTGTCAAATTATATGCAAGCAGAGAGCTCTTCTTAATTTGAGGAGTCTTCTGCACAATTTTTGTTTGTTATGTGAAATAATTCCTCRTCTGTGGCTCTGTTATGATGAAGTATTAGATCAATTATTGTGTGAGAGCAATATTTGGGGTCAATCTCAATCCCCATCAGTGAGGAGSTTTCAGAGAACTCCCTTGTCAGGGAGCTGCACATTGTCATAGGCCCTAGCACCTTCAGCTGGTGTGTGGGGCCTCGATCAGGGCCGATGCTCTGGCTAGAAAGGCAGGAATCACAAGCTGACCAAGACTGATTTACCAAAACAGCTAAGACTAGTATCATTGCACAAGTCTAATCATGGATGCTAGATATAGCATCATAGTTTTCTGAACTATCATCCAAATATCAGAGTGAGATGGAGCTTGGGTGATTCCTGCATGCCAGGTCCTCGAGGAAAGAAACATTGCACAGCAAATGGTAAATAAGCAGGAGGCCCCTTTTGCTGTGTTTTGCTATCAGCCAAAATGCCAGCTAAGCAATCATGCTGCTATTGATWGCTTTTCAGTATCATCCACATGCTTGTTACTTTACAGGTGTTCAGAAGGAAACAGTACTGCCAGTACACTGCCAGAAACCTAGAATGTGCTAAAAGGGATGCTTGTTGTCACGTGGGAAGTAGAGCAGATGCTGTGAGTGCCTTCTACCATGGAGAGAACCCCTACAGCTTTGCAGAAGTCTTGTTCTCTGCAGCATCTGAAAGGGGAGCCCAAGTCCTGCCTTTGTTTCTCTGGATTTGGTGAGAATACAGGTGGAGCAAGGTACCGCAATGTACATCTCCTCCTCTCTGTAGAGGCACGCGCACTCTCACAGAGTAGAGTTGGGACACAATAGTAGAAACATATATTCAAAATTTTCAATTCTGTGGAGTTCAGAGGCATAAGTAGTGAAACTGATGGGAAGTGATGATTGATAAGAAAACTTTCCACTCAATGTACACCTAAAATTATAATTTTATTAATAGGTAAGGGAAGGTAAAATGCAAGAAGCAGTAGCTAAATATGTGGGAAGCCATGAATTCTGCCCCGGTTTAGATGATGATCACGACACGAAATTGGAATGCCGCTGTACTGATCACAATCTGATATTCATTAGACTTGAGCCCTGCCGGCAGAATTCCTTAGAACCAAGCGTGCTTAACGTGCTTTCTGAGTGCTTTCACAAAGCCCTGAGTTTATAATGGCAGTTAAAGTGCATTTTTCCCCAATAATTACACAATCTGAATTTGGTCTATGCTAATAAGCTTTAAGACAATTAAAATTCCACGTTTTAATATTAGAAATCCACTTAATTATAGGTAATCTCCAGCTTTGCATGTCACCTSTGTTAGCATTGATATTCCTCCGTGAGCCTGCAATATCTGTTTATATTTATTATGGGGAGCAGGCTGCTGACAGCCACCTGCCATTGCGTGGGGCCGTGCTGGCAACCAGCCAGGCTCTTAACTTGCCTTTCCCTTATCTTGCTTAGTCCATGGAGGAGAGTGCAACTAGTGAGCCTCCTTTGTGAAGAACGGTGGTGAGAAGGCCAGCCAGCACCAGCTGCTTCCCATCTTCCTCCTCCTCATCCTTGCATTGGGCTTTCCCTTCAGGACTGAAGAGCTGATGTGCCGACCCTGTTCCAAGGRTGCACCTGGTCCACTGTGTGAAGAGCCCCAGTTCAGCTCTCCTCCCCACAGCAGAGGCAGCCAGGTAGAATTTCTTTCAGGGATTGCTCTTTTGCTGATTAATTGTTTTCCTTGCTAGGCTATTATGTTAGTAAGATATTTACAGCCTGTGTGAAGAAAATTGCTGGGCAACGAATCCACACAGTCTTCCTACCTCTTGATTTTTTTTTTTTTTTTTTCCTCCCCTTATGATTTTGAAACACTGCAGTGGTTTTGGCTTGCCTCTCCTCTATTTTTGCTACCCTTTTCTGTCACACTCGGTAATTGGCCTAATAAAAGGCAGAAACAAGAATTTATTACACCTCGGGCAATACTTAAAACAAACTTTATTTGCTGGAGCAGCACTTTTTATCTACTCGCTGCTGTATGTTTTGACACTCCTTCTAAATATTAAATTTGACTTTATTAAAAGTTAAATCTTTTTTTTTGTGATTGCTGCTGCTTTTGCAGTTTCTCAGACAGCCTGGTACATATATAAAACTATTCTAATGAAGYTTCTGGAGAAACAAATTTAAGCAGTGGCTATATCTACTTCATTACTGCCAAAACCCACAAAAATGGCATGATTTAAAGACTAGTCTCTGTAATACCTTGTAAATTAGTCTTGGAATGATTTCTGCAATGACTTGCAAGAACAAAGACAGGAACTATACAACTTTCCATGCTTTTTTTGAGCCTAGAAATTTCCTCAAACAAATGACGGCCTTTATGTTTAGAGCTGTTAGCCAAAACAGTCAAGATAATAGTAAAATGAACCTGGGTGAGATTGTCGTGATGCAATTTCTGTTATTCAGTCCGAGTTTCTTCCACATCACCAGGTGATGACCAACGATCACAATTTTCAGTTTTCTAAGAAGGGTTAAGAAATAGCAATACATGTTCCTAGAGTTGTTTATGCAGGAATTTTTATTCTTTGAAATATTCCAGTGTTAAAGCAACAAGAAAACATTTAGAATGTCCTTTGGTGGAATCTTATTACACTCGTTATATATGTAAACTGATATTCTTTGATGCCAGCACGTTGCCCATACAGAGAAATCTCTGCACAATTAAAGGAAAAGAAAAAAAGAAAAGGACTAAATAAAAAGTAATATTTTTTTCCTCTTATCTGATTAGAATTAAATACATTAACAAATTGTCTGGTAACACAAATAGGCAATAATACAAAAAATCTACATTGTACATCTTATTTCAAGAAAAATAACTTCATTTGAATACAAAAGGATAAATACACTTGTTGTCCTACAGCCACTCTCGTAGGGGAGGTGAGCGCGGCCTTGTGCCGGCCTCGTGCCGCGGAGGTTTGCAGGGGTCTGACGGGCTCGACTTTTATTGGGGGGGCTGTTACACATGTGCATCACTAACATCAGACAAAGAAATCGTTCAACCGACAGGGGTTACAGAGCAACGGTCACTAAAGCACGCGCTGGGAGCACTCGGGCCCAGGAGGCGGCCCCAGCGGGGCTCCTCGCGCCCGCAATGCGCTGACAGCAAAGAATCGCCTCTGTGCCGCTCCCTCGGCGCCTCAGGCCCTCGAAGCCGCTGCGGGGCTCGCCGGCCCCTATGGCTTAGTCCGCTCGGGCCTTTCCGCTCGCTCCCAGTGGTCTCTCCCGATGTTTTAGCGGCGACGGTTCCCGCTGTGCCGGGAGCAGTGGCACCCGAYGCCTCTAGAAGAGGAGCAGTCCTGTGAGTGCGAGCAGGGTGGCGAGTGAGGCTGCGGGCCCCCACAGCACTGCCGCCGGCGCCGAGCTCGGGCTGCAGCCGCCCACGTCGCGCTCGCACTTGAGCTTCTCACACAAGATGCCCGTGTAGCCCGGCGGGCAGTGGCAGCGCACGTTGTTGACACACGTCCCTCCGTTCTGGCAGTGCAGCAGCTCGTTGTCACACACGTTGGCTGCAAGACAGCGGGGAGGGAGGAGAGCACCATGAACGTGAGCGCGGTGCAGCAGAAGCTCCTGCACCGCATGGGGGGCCGAGCCGCGCGCCCYGTCTCACGCCTCCCGCCCCTCCTGGAGATTGGCATGGGGGAGGAGGGGGTGCATCCTGCTGCTTAAACACTTAAAAATTGCATGTGAAAAAAAAATATATGTGCTGTTTTTTTTTTAAATTGTAGACTTGGAGAATGTTGTATCAGACCATTGAGTGTGAAGTTACTTGATACTGCTGCACGCCCGGTTGTACTTTGATGGTACTACTGCCTTGGTGCTCAAGGTGAGTGTTGCTGTTAGATAAAGGAAGGGATGTAGAGCACAGAGCCTTTAGGAAACATGAGCAGTGGTTAAAAATGCAATGGGGCTTTGCTGAAGTGAAAGGATCTGTAGAAGAAGCCAGTGTTTTATACTGACAGTCTGTCATGTATTAATGATCTGGGAAAAACGTATGCAAAAGATAGGGTAACTGCAGATGGGAAAGTCAGTATGTTACTTGATGCGGATTTTATGGTATGTACATATGGAAATAAAAGATAATCTTATTTCTGTTACAGATCAAATATTCTTAATTAGCTTTGCTACTTTGGTGCAAGGATAGCTGGCATCTTAAAACTCTCTTAGCTAGATAGACCTCGCATCTTGATGTGACTTCTGAAGTCTAATTTGATAAAAGAGTTGGGGGAAAATTRTCACAGATAGAAATTTTAGAGCATATGTTATATTTTGGTATTTGATTTATTTATTTTTGTTACRTAATATCAGTTGATATAATTGCTCGGGTAACTCTACCAACAGGGGTAACTCTACTAAGCAAGAGTGTCTGTCAGGTTCCCGTGATCTCGCGCTGGAGAACACGAGCTTGGTCGCAGCGCTGCTGTCCCTGGGTTTCCGTGCTCCTCTAAGGGCAGATCTTGCCCCTTCTGCGGGAACGTAAACATSCCTTTTCCCTCAGGGAATCAGGGGAAGATGGCCAGGTTTAGATTTAGAGGTGTAACTGGAGATACTCAAAGTAACTGGTAATAGGGAAAAGCATAGCTGATTGTACTGTAAAGTAATTGCTTAATTGTACAACAAAATAGTTTTAGGAATATTGGTATCTTTTTAAAAATAATATGAATAGGACGAGAACTAAAATTCAGATAGTCCACATGCTTAAATGATGCAATTCCACATAAATCTGTGAAATGTTGTGAACTGGAAATCTTATCTGCCCTGGCTTGTCTTCAGAAAAAATAATTTTCACACTCTAGAAGGATTCTGACAATAAATGTCCCTTCTCCTGGGCTTCCTTCAGTAATTAGAAGATTTTATTAAAAACTGGATATTTTACATTGAAGTATCCAATTTCTGAGTAGTAATATCAAAACTTGAATACTGAGCTACAACAAAGGTATGTATGTTGATGATGATGATGACTACATATGGCTGAATTCTAAACTTTATATTCATATATTCATTTATATTTATTGCAAAATGTTTATGCTACATGAGGAATAGTAAACCACCACCAACTAAAGATGAGGTGAAAGAGTCAGCAAGAATATAGGATAACAGGTCCAAAAATGATCTCTCTTAAAATATTTTTTGTCAGGGATTACAGCAGGTCTGTGAAGTCCCTGGCTCCCTTGGCGGAGAGGGTTGACCTTGAGGACTGTGGAGTGTATCTGTGAGAAARAGAGGTTGCTTGGGTGGCAGAGGATTGTAAACAAGTCTGGGAAAAGTTTYGGCTGCAGAGCGGGGTGAGAAAACTTGCAGGGCTGACCAGGCTGAGGTTTGTCCAGTCACAACCTTGTTGTTGTGTTTTGCTGACTGTTGCAGCCAATGGGCCGGTGACATGATTTTGCATAGAACATATAAAAGAACACTTGTGGTTTAATAAAGCGCTTTCCTTCTTTCTCTCTCTTTCTATTCTGTTTGTAATTATTTCGACCAGGTGCCATTATTAGTCCGCCACGACAGCGACAATTTTTTTTTTAAATATTAGAGTTTGTATCCTATAACTGAGTTATATGCATCTTTAAAACTGACTTTACCTTCATACTGTACTTATTTAGCTATAGGCAAAATCAAAATACTTTATCTGATGGTACAGCTACTGAGTTTGCCTGCTCTAGACTTCTCATTGCCCTGGAAGCTTTCTGCAGTTCAGGCAGTGAAAATGGTGAAATATCTGTGCCATCAATATTGGTCACTGTTTCCCCTGAATAATTGAGTGGAAATCAATAGTTAATTAAATACCACTTTTTAGCAGCAGAAGAGATATTTCACTTCATGTTTGGCCTTGAATATGAATGAGATTCTATACAAAATTTTCCAAGTATGCAGGAAAACAAATTTATTTTCCAATACCCTTCCTAACTTTCAACTTATTTGGACAACTCTACACTGATTCTTTAAAAGGTCGTCAGCACCCCTAGTTCTTGTCTTGTGGTTACAGGTCTCTGCATGTGAGTGACTCAAGCAGCATTTTGCTGCACTGGGCGGGCAGGTGCAGCCCATCGAGTGCCTCAGTCAACACTGCTTAATGAATAACAGCCCCTTGGTGCAATGTTACAGATGCTGATTTTTCAACCTGATTTAATTTTAATGTTTTTTTTCAAAATACTGGGATAAAAAGTTTTTTCTTCCATATTTGTGGTTCTCTTAAAAGTGTGTCCATAGAAACACAGGGAAGTGGAGTCTATTCTTCTTAGCAAATTCTCGCACTTGGGAATTAACCTCGCCCTGTCCCTGCATCCTCCTCCTTAGTTTTCTCTTTCCCTTACACACATACGCATAAGGGTGTACATGCATATCTATCATGCAAATCACTGTTTTTGTTATCTACAAGTTAGGAAGTAAATGTCATGGTTTTTTTTTTTTTGTTTGTTTTTCCAAAATTTGTGGCCACTTCTAAAGCCATTTCTACTATTCCCTTTGTAGGTGGTGAGAGTGAACTACTGCCTGTAAATGAAACCATTGGATGTATAGCTAGGAATGAAGGTGAGCTGGGCTCAAGTGAGGGGACATTACTGGAGATGTTTGCATTGCCACACTCCTGCTGTGAGTGCTACTGGCAGCGCTCCRATAACCAGTTATGAATTGGAAAATGTGTATGTCTTGATTATGTGTGTTCAACATTTGGTGTTCAAAGCTGTGCTCTTTGAGAGAAGCTAAACTTTGATAATCTCTGAGGCATCAGCTAGCAAGTCCTGATCGAAGGCTGGCACGCTGAGAGCGATGCCGATGAACTGGGTAGCGAGCACGCGTCCCGGGCCTGCGGTGGCTGAGCTGTAAGTTGTTGGCAGATCTTCACGAGTTACAAGATAGGACATCAAGCTGAAAACTTAAGATTTTCTCTGGAGAGCTTTGGAGGCTTATTCTGAGGGCATTTCTGAGCATAGTCCTCAATTTTTCTGTCCTAAGCTGGGAAGTGAAATATTTAAAGTAAAATAAAGGCAAATACTTAATGTTATTTTCATAATTCATCAGTTCATGATCTAAGCTCTAGCCTCCTGATTATGGGATCCTTAAAATACTGCACAAAGAGATATAAGAAAATTAAAGATGGGAAGATCATTTGAAGATCTTGACAACTTTCGGGGGAAAAAGAAAAGTAACAAACCATTGCAATCGTTAAGACATGAGTGATTTTTCTTGAATTAAAATTTAGACACCCTACCAAAGGAGTCATTAATAAAGTATTGAAGTCTTTTTTTTTTTTTTTAAGGATAAGACCCCTATAAATACTGAAAGATGCCTTGCCACTAGTCACAAAATATTCACGAGAAACCGTTTATTTTGTAATTCCAGTGTCATTAAATTTGCAAATGGAATAAAAAGAAAACAATGGGGAAATCTAGTCTTTCAGCCAGCTCAAGCAGTTGGAGAGTAGTAAGTGACATTCTAGTGTTTCACAGAATTTATATTGGCTACTTAATGAAAAGTATTGAGGATTGCATAGATGTTTGACAAATGTGTACTTCCTTCTTAAATGTTCACATCTGAATAATGCATACAAATCCCTGAGTGTGTCCAAAACTCAACTTTAATGCCTCTGTGGTTTCTTTAAACAAAAGAAAAATTAGGCCTGCACTTGTTTCTGCAGCAGCAATATGGGCACAGGCGTACAAACTTATGTCATTGCTGTAGGCTGCTGGTCCATGTTGTGCTGTCAGCTCCTGGYTGTGTGTCTAGGCTTGCACCCAGGTTCTCTCAGCATCCTATCCTCTCTGAAATCTATGCCAAAGGGGGAAAAATCTATTTTGAATTTTTTGGGGAAGACTATCCTTGTTTCCTGCAGGTTAGCTGACGTGGTATCTTACTCAGATGGGTCAGTCACATGAATATGTGAAAAAGACAGACTGGTTTATAAACAATATGAAGGTGATTGAGAACGGTCATCTTTGACCTGGGTAGGTGGTACTACCTTTCTGCATCTAAATCTAGGCTGGTTTTCATGTTTTCGTTGTAGTAACATAACACGTGGTCACAAAAAGATAAGTTATCTTAAGGTTCTTTCTTTCTATTTTTCTTTCATTCTTGAATGCTAAGTCTCTCATTTTAAGAAATGTTTTGTATGATGTCTCCTATTGCTGTTTTTCTTCAGTGTGATATAATTTGCTATATATCCTCTTCTCTTTCCCTCTCTCTTTTTTAAGAATACCTCTTGATTGTTGTCAGCAGGTGGATGGCCAGCTCTGAATACACTGCCAAGATACTTTGGTTTGTTCTAAAGGGCTGATCCAAGTTTTGACCCTGCTTCTGTTGCAATGAATTTTCCACACTGTTCCTCAGTAGTTAGTGTGGAATCTTGGCACTACAGACATCACGAGAACTTCTTGACCAAAGATTTCACCCACTGTTATAGYAACTTTTCATGTGCATGCAGGGGCTGACAAAATGCCTTCTGGCTGAGTTTCCTCTAATGTCTTTGTTTTCTTGGTATTTCCTATCATTTGAAATCAGCTGGGAGGGAGGGAGG